TAAAACCCTCTACTATATAAAAAAAATAAAAACACACACACACTCACACACACACACACACACACACACACACACACACACACACACACACACACACACACACACACACACACACTCACTCACACAAAATACCACAAACATCATCATCATCGTAACCCGCGGACTGAGTTAAGCATTACAACAAAGGAACGGAATAAGGCAGTGTTTTCCCTGTACATCGCACTCAGAACATGTATTCCACTCAATATACATTACACGCGCTTGTGAAGCTGTTCTTTATACAGGAACAATTAACTCTGTCATCACAAAGAAAGACAATAGATTTGATGGTTTGCTGCCCTTTGATTTTTCTTCCATTAACTTCTGGAAAATCTCAGTGGAGATGACCCGGATGTGGATAAATCATTATATAGGTCTCGGTTGGCGAGCATTCTTCTCCTGTTCTTTGCGATTTTTTAATTTTTTTGCTTCATATGCCAAACTTGCTCGCTGTGCAACGTTTTTCTGAAATTAGAAAAAAAAGAAAGAAAATAATGAAGGGCGGGTAGGTGGAGGGATACACCGGTGAAATTCATCAAATAGATGTTTGACTTTTAATGAATCATTGTGTTCTAGTTGCGATACAATGGAGGAAGGTTGGTAAAGACAAAGAAAAAAAAACTGTCTCTCAGCCAAAGTATCAGATTTAGACATTGTAGAAAATGTGATTATGTTTTTTTTTTATTGAGACTTAAAAACGCTGACAATGGATCGGTTTAATTATTAATTTGTATTCTTTATGATGCCTGCTGTTCAACCATGCCTGTCATGATCAAAATCTAACGATGCCTTCAAAGTGTTATGTACACGTTAGCTTCTCAAACCAGCTGCGTGTCTGTCCCTAAAGCAAGAGCATTCGGCACATGCACGTGATGTATTTCACCGAGATCGTTCTCATAGCGTAATCGAGTCACAAGATCGAAAGCGTCCGAAAAATAAAGAATCTATGTCACCTTTGGGGTAGTTTCTTTGGAGAAAAAAAAGAACAGGACTTATAAGTACATGTGTAATTATAATACTGGCCTACAAGTTTTTCTAAGGTAGTTTTGCAAAGGCCATAACCTAACACTGATTTAAAACCTTCCTCTCGTTTCATTCAAATTCCGTGTTGAGTTGCATCTACATATTATTATTATTAAATACATGTTCGATGTTCTACCGAGATCGGGTAATCCGTAAAGGCTATGATTTAACTTTAATCTAAAACCTTCCTCAATTCATTCAAATTCTATGTTGTGTGGTATCTTCTGACGTATATATATATA